CAGCCAGGCCCGCTGACCTTTAAAACTCCAGTCTGTATGCCCCACTGGTTGCAAGAACTCATGAAAATCAGCCCTTCTTGTTTTTTCAGCCAGTGGCTTTGGGGAAACGTTCTTGTATGTTCCCCTGCGTGCTCCTCTCTCTCTCATCTTTCTCCGCGACCATGGCTCCCTTCCTACCATGGCACTCGTGATCCGTTTCTCGCCTAAACCACGTCTCTGTCCTCTTAGCTTCATTGTTGTGGCTTCTTCGCTCCCTTTACTTGTGGAGTCCATTCTGTCAGTGTTCGGGTTGATTTCTGGGGTATCTAGAATGATTTGATAGTTACCTGTTGTTTGAAGGAAGAGACAAGCCTATGGTATTCCTACAGTGCTGCCATCTTAGCTTACCCCTAAATTTTGACTGTTTTAACATCAGTGAAAATACATTCCTGACTTTTAAAGAACACTTTTAGTCTATATGGAATAGTTTTTGCATCTTAAGAATGAGCATTTTTGTATTGCAGAGTTGAATTTTTGTGCATTTTACTATTTGAGTTACATGTTGTAGAACACTAATCTTTCCATAGAGCAAATAGAATGGCATAGTCCCTTGTGGCCCTAGAAGTTCTGTATGTGTAATTGGCAATTCATTAGCATCTGGGAGGGGGATGCCAGAACTCCCTGAAATGTGTGGGGTCAGGTTGTCCCCAGTTATGATTTGGTTGGGCTTGACAACTTTGAATACTCGCTTAAATCTATTCTTCATTTTTCCTCATTTTTCATCATATATTAAATGTGTTTTGAAGTCAGTTTCATTTCTTGACTTTTTTCCTTTATATTGTCTTACAACTTGTGATTTCGTTTTTTTTTTTTAAATAAAGTCTTCTCTGGTTGATGTGTACAGCGTCATTAAATGTGTATACCTGGGTTACTCTTAATACCACTCTTGTTTACGAGTGAGAGGGCCAAATTGATGTTGCTATGAAGGATTTGGTATTAAGTATAAAAGTAGATTATTTTAAACTTAAGTGTTTTAACACTTTTCATATTTTATACTTAATGTCATTATTAGAAATATGCTTGCATGTATTATCCATATTAGTTATTTGCCTGAGTATTCTGATGGCATCATGGGGCCAGGCACACATTGTCAAGTAGATTTCCTAAGGAATTGACCATATCTGCTAAAGAATTGAGATTAGGAAGCTTGAAGTCTGGCTCAGCCAGGTAGGTTGATAAAGTGTGACCTTTGTCAACTGGCTCAGCCAGGTAAGTTGATCAAGAGTTACTTTAAGGTTAGGAAGTTTCTTGCTTCTAGAGGACTTTATAGAAAGTAACCTTAAGTTTCCTGCTTCAAGAGGACTTAAACTATTCTAGATAGTGATAGGTTTTATTTTTAAATAAGAAATTTAGTACTGTAACTCAGTATTTCTTCCTACTATTTAAAAATTTATCATTTATAAGTTATTAGTTTTTTATAAGTTATTAATTTTTGGTCTGGCTTTCATCTTAAGGTGGTAAGGCAATTTTTCTTTTGTTGTTTTTTGTCCAGTCCATAAATATTTTGGTTCTTGTGCCTTTTTGTTCTCTACTTTGTAAGGAAATCTGATTACTTGATTTAAGAACAGTAAATGTCAGGGTAATGAGGTGTTTTCCATCTCACTTTAGTGGATTAAACACCAGAACTTTGCCAAAGAGTTTCTTTTTGTCTGAGCCGAGCCTTTGTACTTTGATGACCCTTCTCTCAAATTTCAGACTTGCATGGTCAACTTCCTGATGGGTGTCTCTATCTTGTTGGCCCATGGACACATCAAACGTAGGTTTAAAGATAACTTATTTCTTGTTTTAACCTCATTTAGTAGCACCACTATTTTCCCAATCACCCACCCAAGCCAGAAATCCTGGTGAGTAATGGCGCAAACATAACATGAGTGTGTCTCATCCTGTACTCTCCTCCCCTCTGCCTGTGTCGGACATCTCATCAAACACGTCACTCTTTCCTTTGAATGTTGACAACATAAGCTTTTCAAAGCAGCACAATCTAACTGTTACCAAGTCCTGCTGAGTTTTGCTTCCTAAATTTCTTAACTCTACCCTTCCTCTCCCCACATACTATTATTGCCTAATTCAGTCTCCTACAGCTGTTTAATATGTGGATTAAATCCATATAACTTTATGAGGTAGATATTACTATTGCTATTATTACTATTTTAAAGATGAGAAAACTGAGAAATAGGTAACTTGCTTAAAGTTGTTTTTTGCTTTATCCGCTGTAACTGCCTCTTAACTGGTACTTTAGGCTTCTAGTCTTGGCCTCTATGGACTCATCTTTCTTCAGTTGCCAGAGTGATCTTTTTAGAATGTGTGACTTCAGATGCTAGGCTCTATTATCCACTATGACATCTTAGGCAGTGTAGTTAATCCTGCAGCCAAAGTTGAATACAATTTTCAAAGAAATTTTAAAAAAATTTTATAAATATACGGTTGTACTTTATTTTGTTAAAGCCTATTCCATCATGTTCCCAAATTCTATTTTATGTGCTAATGTTAAATTAGGTGAAATTTAAAATGTTACACAGTTGACCCTTGAACAATATGGGCTTGAGCTGTGCAAGTCCACTTATACGTGCATTTTTTTCAATAAATGTATGTATAGTACTGTAAATGCATTTTTATTTTATGATTTTGTTAATAACATTTCCTTTTTTGTTTTTTTTTGTTTCAAATTTTTGTTTAAATTCTAGTTAGCACATATTGCAATACTGGTTTCAGGAGTAGAATTCAGTGATTCATCACTTACATATAACTCCCAGTGCTCATCACAACAAATGCCCTCTTTAATACTCATCACCCAGCTAGCCCATCCCCCGCTCACCTCCCTTCATTAACCCTCAGTTTGTTCTCAGTAGCTAAGAATCTCTTAGGGTTTGCTTCTCTCTCTCTTTTTTTTTCCTTTCCTTATGTTCATCTGTTTTGTTTCTTAAATTACAGATATGAGTGAAATCATACGGTATTTGTCTTTCTCTGACTTGTTTTTGCTTAGCATAATACACTCTAGTTCCATTCACATTGTTGCAAATGGCAAGATTTCATTCTTTTTGATGGCTGTGTAATATCCTGTTGTATAAATATACCACATCTTTATCCATTCATCAGTCGTTGGACATTCGGCCCCTTCCCTATTTGGCTGTTGTTAATAATGCTGCTATAAACATCAAGGTGTATGTGCCCCTTTGAATCTGTATTTTTGTATCCTTTGTTTAAATACTTAGTAGTGCAGTTGCTGGGTCATAGGGTAGCTCTGTTTTTAACTTTTTGAGGAAACTCCATACTGTTCTCCAAAGTGGCTGCACCAGTTTGCATTCCCACCGACAGTGTAAGACGGTTCCCCTTTCTCCACATCCTCACCAACATCTGTTGTTTCCTGGATTGCTAATTTTAGCCATTCTGACAGGTGTGAGGTGGCATCTCATTGTGGTTTTGACTTGTATTTTCCTGATGATGAGTGAAGTTAAACATCTTTTCTTGTGTCTGTTAGCCATCTGGATGTCCTCTTTGGAAAAATGTCTATTCATGTCTCCTGCCCATTTCTTAACTGGATTATTTGTTTTTTGGGTGTTGATAACATTTCTTATTCTCTAGCTTACTGTATTGTGAGAATACAGCATATAATACATATTGCATACAAAATATTGTTTTCATGTTGTTAGGCTTCTGGTCAACAGTAGGCTACTAACTAGTAGCCCCATAGAGGGGGTCAGAAGTTACATGCTTATTTATGACTGCGTGGTTGTTTAAGGGTTAGCTGTACCTTTGTTAAAGCCAACTATGTTGAAGAGCAAAGCAAGCACACAATAGGGTTCTTAAGTCTGCTTTTAAGGATACTCTCTAAACTTCAGTGTTTATTTAAAATAAAGCAATTGTCTTTAATAATTTTATAATACTTTATAGTTTTGGGAGTGATTTTATGTGTATTTTGTTTAATATCCTAAATTATATTTATATTATGGTAGAGCAAGTTTTTGTAAGTGCTTTGTTTACTTAGATGATTTTAGAAAGTACAGAATTAGCCAAATGTCCTATTTATTTAACTTTTCTCTTTGGTGACTTAAATTTTGATTTGAATCATTTTCTTGCCATGATCGCTGATGCTGTTAGTCTACTTTTCTTGGAGACTCAGTTCCTCTATTGAGGAATCTTTGTTATACTAAAAGCATGTAGGTTTATTTCTCTTACACTAAAGTGACTCAGATTATTGTCTTTTTGGTGTTGTATGCTTGTGGGTAGTTTTTCAGGCTTTCATTTTGCTGTCACCTGTTATTTCATGGATCTTCTTGTAGTAACCTTTTGCTGCAGCATAACATAATGTGACAAGGGCTCACGTTGCAGTCAGACTGAAGTTACTTAATTGTTCTTGTCTCAGTTTTCTCATTTTCTCTGTAAAGTGAAGATCAAAATAGCTCATTTAATCCCACTGAAATACAAAACACGAAGTGCCTAGCAAATAAATGCTCAATAATTGCTTACAGGAAATTATGGTGTAGTGATATTTTTTAAGAAGTTCATGCTACCCTTTTAAGTAGAAATAGTGAATATAATTTAATGAAACAAGGTGATTATTGTGTAACGACCTCAGGGTCATTTCATCCAACCAGTTTTCAGTAAGAATATGCTATGTATCAACACACACATTTATGTTTAGGCTAAACGTCTCTGCTGAGCTTTGACTTTGCAGATTCTTTCACTTTGCTTTTAGGTATGCTTTCCCCTGTTACTTGACATCTTGCCGCTCTTGCCCATGACTCTGCCCCCACCAAAATTGTTAAGGACTGTAACAGCAATGAAAGCAAGTATGTTCTCAGAGAGGGCCCATGGACTGTTTTTGAATTAAGGACATAAGATTTAATGCATGGATTCTGTGACCTCTTGGCTGCAATTCTTACTAACTGTGGTGCTGTTAGTGGGTTTGTATTATTTTCAGATGTTGCTTAACATGAAATTTTCAATTTTTAAATTTCAAGATGGAGATATGCATGAGTTAGAGCGAACAAGACAGTATGTCCATGAAGCTTTCCAAGCAGGGGCTATGACGTGCTTGATTTGTATTGCTTCGGTGAAGAGAAACCAAGCAGTAAGTTCTTCCCTTTGTCCTATATTAATGTATCTCCCCAAAATATCTTATTTTGCATTTGTCATATGTAACCGTTTATTCTTTTATTTTTGTTCAAATATGCTTCATCTGAGAATTTTATTTATGAATTGATCTTCATTTTGTAAATCTGTAATTTGAAAAAATTACTTCTAAATGAGCAGCCAGTATTTTTAGCACTGTTAATATAAGTGAAGCAAATATCTTCAGTTTTAATACACATGTCAATTTGATAAAGCATAGCATCTGCACTTTAGACATTCCCGCAATACTGAAATGTTAAAATGCACTATATTTCACTACTTTCAACAGGTTAAAAAAAGGGAGATATGGTTCCTGCCTTGAAGGAAGTAGAACCTAGCCGTGATACTCAGCAGTTTATTAGTGAGCTTCTCTTGTGTTTCTTGTGTTGAAGACACTGTAGAAAATGGCTAGGGTCACTGGGGAGAGATGGATTCGGATGTAACTCATGTACTTGGAGGTGCTGTGGTCTAATGGTGAAGTTATCCATATGTAAATTTAAAAGGGCTTTAAAGAAGCAATTAAAGGGAAGTAATGACTGAATATGGTAGATTCAGTGTTTAGACTCAGATTATAGCAGCGTTGCCTAGACAAAATCAGGCCGGATGAATTGAGTTGGTCGTGTAGAGTGAATCAGAAATTTAACATACATTGGACAGGATAGATGTCGATGCATGTGCCTTTGGTGTCTAGAGTCACATCTGGTTGGCTTACTCTGATTTCCGTTGCAGTGGATGAATAATCTCGCTGCATGTGGTTATATTCCCACCTTAAACACTTGCTGTGTGTGTAGATTTATTTATTTTTTTAACCTTAATGCTTTCTCCTTGGGATTACTCAGCTAGTACATAGGCATCGTGCACAAGCACCGGGGAATTAATGTGCCTTGGGGCAACTTTCTTCCACATGGAATTAATTGGCGGATGAGTGTCCCAGCCTTCTCTCCAGTAGGAGTTGGGGCCGGGGTAGTCTGAGATGTGTTTTACATGGTTCTTCAGAGGGTCCATAACAGGACTGAACTTTGGGCCCTTAGCAATAATCAGCTCAACAATATACCATTTAGTGGCATTTCCTCTTCCCTCCCTTATCCCCTCATTGTTGCATCCCAGTTCTTTTCTCAGGCACTGCTTTGGGGGTAACAAACTAAGAAGTTGCCTTCTTTTTTTTAATGCTTCTGCCAGCTTATGCATTGTGCTACATGTGTGATTTTATTGAACAGTTGCAAAATGTTACAATGAAAGGAGAACTGATTTTTGTCATTGAAGTGTTGGCAGGTTTTAAGAATTAATTTACTATTATTAAGTTTAAAAATATGTGTGTTTTTTGCTCATTTAATTTTTAGAATTTAGCATTAAGTGCTAGACTAATAGATTTTATATAACAAAAGGGCTATGTACAGATACATGTACATAATATATTTCAGGATTCCTCTGTAGCGTTATTTATCATTGGAAATAACCTAAATGTCCAAAAAGAAATTGGACATGTAAATCTACATGATAATACAGCTATAAATATCATGTATGAACATATTTAATAATGGTAACTGCTTATAGTATGTTAGACTATAAAGTTATATATCAATTAGTACAGCGTGACCTTATTTTTAAAAAGTGTGAAATATATACCAAAACAATTGGAGATCATTCAGAATATTAGTAGTTGTTTCTAGCTAGATGACTGGGTAATTAATAGTTTTATTTAAAATGTTCTAAACTTAAATATATTTTTATGAAAAACATTTCTTCTATTAGACTGGAAGGAAAAATTTTTTTCTTTAGTCCTTAGGTAGCTCTTCAAAATAATTTAGTGTGATGCTCATTTTAAAGTATTGGTCATTGGATACATGTTAATTTCTGATACCTTTGTCTTAGGTTTGGAGCTGTTCAGGATGTTTCTGTATATTTCACATGCCCTGTATCCAGAAGTGGGCTAAAGATAGCCAGTTTCTGGTATCTTCTCCTTTGACGGATGACGATTTTGGAAAGAGAGATTATCCTTGGCCATGGTAACTTTCTGCTAATTTAGTTGGAATAGTAAGTTGTAAAATAAATGAAAACTGTAGGTCCTAAGTTGCCGTATTGGCAGTTTCAGTATCCATTTTGGGCCTTCATTTAGTTTGGTTTGTGGAGTTATAGTACTTTGGTAATGGCTTCTATTTTTTCCAATTTGTATAACTACTTGTTACTTTCAGAAACCAATAAATCATTCAGACTTTACTTTTTCTTCTGCAAAACACCTCCTTAATTATCTTTTTTAAAGAACTTCCATTTCTTTAAAATTCTATATGACTAGAATCCTTCATAATTCTGGTACTTCTCTTCTGGAGTTACTGTTAGTATACATTAGTTAGTATCACATTGTACAAGACTGCCATCTAATGTGTTTTGATCATAGGCTTCCTGATGTTGTCTTTGAAATCTCTCAAACTGCAGGAGTATATTATTCAATCTTACCACTTTTTCCACATTAATTTCATTAGTATGGCTTATTATTGACGAATATTTAATTGTGAACTTGTTATATTTCTAGAAAGAGTTGGGGAGTGGAAAATTTATATCTCTGCTAAATAAAGATAATAAAAAATTTATCCATACTGGCAGCTCAGAGGGTAGATTTACTGTCAAGGTAATGAAGCATAAACTTCAGGGGTTCTGTGTTCATATAAATAATCACTTTTGTAACTAATTTTAGATTCTTAACAGAGGCCCCTAAATTGTATAAGATTGAGACCTCAGAAAACCTGGATCCATATCAGACCTCCTCTTATTACCACAAATACTGATACATTTGTAAAATTGTGGTGGTGTAGTGGTTTTTTTAAAGTAGGCTCCAAGCTCCACTGACTGAGTCACTCAGGCGCCCCTGTGGTAGTGTAGTTTTTCAAAAACATTTTAGACATACTAGTTACTTTGAAAAATAATTCTCAGTATTCTGTGAGGGTTTTTATTCCCATGTTAATGGGATATTGAAATTGATGAAGCAAAACGGTATGTTCAGGCTTCCCTTACTCTTAAGTGGTGAAGCCAGGATTTGAAACCTAGGATTTCTAACTTCTAAATTCAGTGCTTTTTCTGTTCTTCTGAGTTTTCTCTTATAATACTATTTTTAGAGATATTATTTGTTTTGTTTGCATTGAATATTAGCTTCTCTGAAACAGTTTAAAATTTCAGAGTCTATATTTGTTTTGCTACTGTATATTTGTGGGAGGATTTCAGTGTTCAATAGGTACAAAATTAAACTGGATATTCAGACTTAATTTTAGAGATCTAAGCCTTATGCATACTTTTTATCACCCTTGCTCATCTCATTCTATTTTAAGTGGTCATTTTGCCACAGTGCTGGGAAGTACCAGTTAAAAGGGGAATGAACTTCTACTCTTGACTTAAATCTGAGGAACAAAAAATTGAATCAGCTGTGTAGTAGTAACTTTTGCATTCTATATTTTATATTTTTTAAGAAAACCAGTGACTGTTTTGGATTTGTTTAATCCTCATCAAGATGGAGCTAGAACTTGATACAAATATTAGTAGTTTTAAATTAGTTGTTTTGTGGAATTCAAACATTTAAAATGTTTAAATGTTTCTACTAAGATATTGCTTGCTTATATATAAGACATTGACATAATTACATTTCATTATTGCATGCCATTATTTTAAATAAAACACATGCATTTGCACATAATGCCCATACCTCTCCCAATCTCCTAGAACAATTTAGCCTCACTGTTGATGGGCACTATTAGGGTATTGTGAGTTACTTTTTAGTCCTCCATATCTATAGGCTAATTTAAAGTAGACATCCCCCTCCACGTTAGTTTAGAGGAATGTAGACGTTTTTCTCTTATAGCTCTTCCAACAAAATAATATTAGTTAGTTATTCTAGATGAGACATGGTATTTTGTCTTTGAGTTTTGATTACAAAAACAAGTATCTTTGGTTATTCTGAATATTTATGTGGCATTTATTTGAAAACAGAACGTGGTCTCAGGGGCGCCTGGGTGGCTCAGTCAGCGGGGAGTCTGCTTCTCCCTCTGCCCCTCACCCCACTTGTGTTCTCTCTCACTCTCTCTGTCTCTCAAATAAATAAATAAAATCTTAAAAAAAAGAGGACATGGTCACAGGACAATGAAAATACAAACGATACAAAAGAAAGTGATGATGTGAGACTTTTTCCAGTATAGTTATACTCATTTATCTGGGGAATAGTAAGGGTTAGAATATCTTTAGAATGAAGCAATCTATGATCTGCAAATGAATTTGATAGGGCTGAAGGTTAACATTGTTTTATTTTAACCATGCTAGCTAAAAATCTTTCTGCTGTAGCAGAGAAAATGAAACAATATATGAACTTTTCTTTGATTTAAGCACATTTGTTATATATCTATTTTGTATAGGATATTGAGAAATTCTTCATTTTCCCCCTCAATTCTAAATTGTAGACATGTCTCTTGCCGCTGTATTGCCTACCTATAATCTGGTTTCTGTCTTCTGTTTGCCGTTGCTAATATATTTTACATATTTGCAGGTCACCCAACCAAACTTTTAAAACATTGAGCTTTATAAAAATTGGAATGAGTACCTCAAGAATAAAGTTCATCTGCTTAGTAGAAAGCTAATGTTGCTTTCTTTTTGTAGCTTCATTCTAACTTTGTTTAATACAGTAGCAACTAGCCACATGTGGTTATTTAAATTTTGAAAAATTGTAATAAATTCTGTTTCTTCCTCAGTTGTATGTATTAGCCACATTTTAAGTGCTCACTGGTCATATGTGGCTAATGGTATAGAACGGTTCCTTCATCTCAAATTATATTGGACAGAGCCGTTCTAGATGGTTGAAATTGATTTTTGTGAAATCTTGTTTCTTATTAGCATAAAGGTGGAGCAGAGGGTGCATTAATATAGAATTAATTGAGCGTATTCGACTCCTAAGTATGTTTATATTCCTGTTTCTCTTGTCACTTTTAAAAATGAAATTAACTTCAGTAATTTCATTCTTTTTTATAGTCCAAAATGTAGGTTTGAATACAAACGATCTGACACACCTAGTAGGTACTATTGCTATTGTGGAAAAGTAGAAGATCCACCTCTAGATCCATGGCTTGTGCCTCATTCATGTGGCCAAGTATGTGAGAGAGAATTTAAACCTCCTTGTGGCCATAAGTGTTTACTCCTCTGTCATCCAGGTGAGTTAAATATTACATTTCTACTTATTTGTGGGTGGTTATTTCTTATGTTGAGGCAGAAAAAAAAATTGTCAAAGTTTAATTCAGAACTTAAGTTCACATAAGAAGACATTAGAAGGGAATGTCTTTTAAAGTATCAGTAAAGAAAGCTTTACAAATTACTGATAGGTGTAGGAATTGAAAGTTTTAAATTTTGATTGGTGATTTTTTTTTTCCCTTTCATTGGATTCTAGGTCCCTGCCCTCCTTGTCCAAAGATGGTCACAACTACTTGTTACTGTAAAAAAGCAAAACCTATACCTCGTAGGTGCAGTACTAAGGAATGGTCCTGTCAGCTGCCATGTGGGCGGAAGTTGCTTTGTGGACAACATAAATGTGAAAATCCTTGTCATGCAGGTAAAAATGTCATACCTGTTAGGTGTTCTGATTTTTTAAGTAAAAATCAAAGCAGTCTTTATTGGTTTTGTAATGTTTCTTTGCTAATTTATCATTGTGATTTTAGGAAATTGTCTGCCCTGTCCAAGAGTTAGTAGACAAAAGTGTGTCTGTGGGAAACAAGTAGCTGAAAGGAGCTGTGCGAGTCCACTGTGGCAATGTGACCAAGTGAGTGTATATGCATTTGGAGGGGTGGGTATTAAAGAATACAGAAAACATAAACAATTTGAAATGCTAAGTAGGTTTAGCTGGATAAAAGAAGAGGAAGAGCAAAGCAAATGAATTATATTCATGTTTTAGGAAACTATTTTCCAATTTAATGTAATTTTAATTATTGGAGGAAATTTTTTCTTTTCAGATTAATAGCTATTTGTTGAATTTTGGATTCCGTACATATGTATTCTGCTTCTTGCTATCTCTCCTTCCTTGTCTTTCCCTTCTCTTCAACTAACACCACTCTGTTCTTGAGTTATTCCAGTTGAGGAAGTAGGATTTTGTAGATTGTCCTAGAATTAACATGGTTTTAGTATCATTTGGAAATCTTTGGTAGATGACCATATGAAGCTATATGTACTTTTTCCCCTTTATTTTAAAGGTACATAGGAAATGTATGTGTGTATGTTCATGTGTATATGTTTGTGTATATGTTTATGTATATATATGTGATACCTATATAAAATATAAAGCATAATATGAAGAACATAAAGAAGTTGCTTGTGATTGAAAAATGGATTAGGTCACGCACAGAGTCTTATTGTTAACTTTTAAGTCTTATGTGCTTATTGCATTTTATTTTAGGTATGTGGAAAAACCCTGCCATGTGGTAATCATACATGTGAGCAAGTTTGCCATGTTGGTGCTTGTGGAGAATGTCCTCGATCTGGGAAAAGGTTCTGTCCATGTCTGAAGTCAAGTAAGACTTTTTTTTAAACCTTTAATGGAATATGATTATTTCTCCTGTTCACTTAGAGTACGTTCCTAAATTAGATTTCTGTGGGAGTTCATAATGTAATTTCAGTAAAAATACCAATTTGATAGTAGATTTTTTTTTTTTTACATTTGCTGAAAGGGGACAATATAGTTTAGTGGGTTAAGAACTCAGACTTTGGAATTAGGCATATCGTGGTTCAGATTCCACCTTCATGAACTATAGTTTTCTCAAGTAAAATGCAGTAATAATATTTTCTTTATAAGATAAAGAGAATGAAATGAGTGAGAATTAAATGATAAAATGCGCATAAAGTATTTGGTGTAGTGCCTGGCAATAAAGGAAATCTCATAATCATAGACTGTTGTCATTATTATATTGTGTTTTAGGTTATGGGTGAATTTAATTTGGCTGCTTTGAAATAAGGCACAGAACGTTGCAGTTTGAGTGTACTTCTTTAACTCTGCACCAATACCAGCACACATATTTATAAGATTATTGTCAACACTTGTCTTAGTATGTGTATGTTAAAGGTCATTTTCATAATGTTCTCAAGTCTACATCTTTTTTTTTTTTTCTAATCCTGTGAGGTTGTTAAGAGCAAATTTTCTTTTTATAATTCTATTTATTGTAGAAGTCTTCATAGAGGTTTGTATGGTCTTACTCTTTTATTTAGGTAAGTATTTCTGAAGTAGTTAGCTCATAAACATATGTGTCTTGAGGATGGTAACTTGTTATGTGTCAAATTCTTTTTAAAAAACAAACTTTTTTTTTAGTGATTATTTTCATTAAATTTAGCTCTTTCCAGTAACTATGTAGATGCATAAATTCATAGTCTGAAAGGGCTGTCATTCTTTAGGGAGCCAAAAGAACATGGCATGTTGTTAGTGCTTTATAATAATGTATCTTATTAACTTTGACTTTTTGTCTGCTTTTAGAGTTTTCTTTGCCGTGTACAGAAGATGTACCAACTTGTGGAGATAGTTGTGACAAAGTACTTGAATGTGGAATCCATAGATGTTCACAGCGTTGTCACCGAGGTCCTTGTGAAACATGCAGACAAGTTAGTCATCTCCTATAATAATTAATTTTAAAAAACCACCTGTCATAGTATGTCAAATGGGATTATGCTGTAATTGTTTTCCATTACTTTCTTTTTTGTTTTTTTTTTTTTAGAAGATTTTATTTATTTATTTGACAGAGAGAGAGAGAGAGACAGTGAGAGAGAACACAAGCAGGAGGAGTGAGAGGGAGAAGCAGGCTTCCCGCTGAGCAGGGAGCCTGATGTGGGGCTCCATCCCAGGACCCTGGGATCATGACCTGAGCCAAAGGCAGATGCTTAACTACTGAGCCAGCCAGGCGCCCGTTTTCCATTACTTTCATAAACATCTATGTGATGATCTGTATGAGCTTAGTGACCTAATGTTTATGGTAGAGAAGCAGGAGAGTATGCCAACAGTCAAATCTAAAAATTACCCTTTGTTTGATTTTGCTTTGTAAAAGTTTAAACATTGTCATTTTTATAATCTAGCATGGGGTTGTTTGTTTTCAGAAGATATTCAAAGCAATGATAAGTCGGCCTAGTGATGATGGAAAGAAATAAATGCCTGGAAGTGAGATGTTAAATAACGTTATATATGTCATTTTGGTTTGGACCATACTACTAAATAATCCAATTCTTTTGTTTTACTGAAACAAGATGGGCAGATGGTATGGTGTAACTAGATGTTATTTTAATGTGTGCAGTTGTTTTACTATTGAATATCCAATTTTTACTAAATTTAATAGTGGGAGTTCTATGAAGTCTTTGTTGGAACAAAGTAAGATACAAAGAAATGTCTTAGGAAATTCAGCTTTATTTTTGGTAAAGTCCTTTATATGAAAGACTTTTAAAACCTTCCTTCTTCATTCTTTACTAATTAATAGAGATTGCAATGTGGGGAGAAAATGTCAACAAAAGTTAATTTTAATAACATTCATTCGATTCTTCCAGGAAGTGGAAAAGCATTGTCGCTGTGGAAAGCATACAAAACGAATGCCATGTCATAAGCCTTATCTATGTGAGACTAAGTGTGTTAAGATGCGGGACTGTCAGAAGCATCAGTGTAGGAGAAAGGTATGTGTAGTAAGCCTGGGAAACGGATTTAAAAATTGTCTTGAATTTGTACTTTTTGAGCCTGGGTTAAGTGCCATCATGGTTTATTCTTCAGATGTTAAAGCATGTTCTTTGCTTTCCATATGAAATACTAATAAATATTCTAGATTAATCTTAATTGTTTATATTAGTGGGAAATCTTACCAAGGTTTTTAAATGACAGGGTCTCTTTTTGGTCCTGGGCATAAACCTTTTAACTTGGTTCTTGGGCTGTTTCTGTTCCCTGGATTTTAAAACATCATAGTAGTGTTAGAGCGATAGTTCATTTGGTGGTAGAGGCTTAACTTCTAGTGTTCAAATCGTATTTATAGACACTTGGTTCCATTTAAGATGGACTGGAGTATTTTATTGAGTCTGTAGATTTGTAGTTTTTTTGAGTTCCATTTATCATTATGAATTATTCCTCTATTTCTGGTAAGGTTTCCTTGTTCGTAAATCTATTGAAATATAGTGATGCTGTTTTGTTTAATGTTAATACAGATATCTTTTTCTATTCTTTTACTTTTAACTTATTTTATATTTAAAGTAGATTTCTTATAGACCACATTTAGATATTATTTTATAATATCTTCCACTTTAAATGTTGACAATCTTTGTCATTTAATTTGGGCGTAGATCATTTACATTTAATGTGATCTTTAATATGGTAGGATTTAAATCTGTCATTTTGCTATTTATTTTCTATTTGCCCATCTGTTGTTTGTTCCTTTTCCCTCTTTTGTGTTTTCTGTTTGATCAAGTATTGTTTTTCAATGATTCATTTTAACTCCTTTATTGGATTCTCACACATTTTATATCCATGTATTTTATAAACCCCAAATACATTGTTTTTACTTTTGCTTTAAATAGACAGATAGCTTTTAAAGAGTTTGAAAAAAATAAGAAAAGTAGTCTTATATATTTATCATCAAATTCACTATTTTTGGTGCTTTTCATCCCTTTACATAGATTTGGGTTTCTATTTTCATTTTCTTTTTGTTGGAAGGACTTCTTTTAATATTTTTTATAATGCTGTTCATGACGTCTTTTACCTTTAATGACTTCAGCCATTGTGAAAAATATTTCTACAGTAGAATTCTAGTTTGACAACATTTCCCCCATACTTTAAAGATGTTGCTCCATTATCCCTTAGCTTGCATTTTTTTCCCAAAAAAGTGTATGCTGTGATTGTTATCTTTGTTCCTCTGTACTGTATGTAATGTCTCTTTTCTCTTTGGCTATTTTTAGAGATTTTTCCCTATACTGTTGGTTTTCAGCAGTTTATTTGTGGTGTTCCTGTGTATAGCTTTCTTCTTGTTTCTTTAGCCTAGTTTTTGTTGAGTTTCTCTGATCTGTTTATAGTTTTCATCAAATTTGTGAAATTTTCATTCTTTGTTGCTTCAGATATTTTTCCCCCATGCATCACCTTCTGAGACTCCAATGATTTGTATGTTATGTTGCTTGAAGTCCCACAGCTCACTGATGCTCCATTTATTATTTAGTCCTTTTAATTTCTGTGTTTTATTTTAGCCTGTGTAGCTTTGTCTTCAGTTCACTAATTTTCTTCTGCATTGTCTAATTTGATGTTTATCCCTTCCTATGTTTTTTTATCTCAGACATAGTACTTTTTTATCTCTGGGAATTGGAGTTGAGTCTTTTTTGTCTCCCGTGTCTGTCCTTAGCAGGCTCATGCTTTTTTCTATCTTCTTGAATATGTGGGTGGGCTATACTTTTATAATGCCCATTTTAATGTCTTTGCCTACTGATTCTGTCCTCTATCATTTTTGGGTCTATTGCTATTGATTGATTTTTCTTCTCCTTTTGGATGATATTTTCCTGATTGGTAATTTTTATTGGTTTCCAGACATTGTGAACTTTACATTTTTGGATGCTGGAGATTTGTTTTGTTTTGTTTTGTATTTCTTCCTTTTTTTTTTTTTTAAGATTTTATTCCTTTATTTGATAGAGACACAGCGAGAGAGGGAACACAAGCAGGGGGAGTGGGAGAGGGAGAAGCAGGCTTCCCGAGGAGCAGGGAGCCCGATATGGGGCTCGATCCCAGGACCCTGGGATCATGACCCAAGCCAAAGGCAGACGCTTAACGACTGAGCCACCCTGGCGCCCCTTGTTTTGTATTTCTTTAAATATTTTTAAGCTTCATTCTGGGTTGAAGTCAAGTTATTTAGAGATCATTTGGTTCTTTTGAGGCTTAATTTTGTTAGGTGGGATGAGGCCACCCTTTTATCTAGGGCTAATTTGGTGTCATTACTGAGGTAATAATTCTTCTAAGTACTCTACTTAATGCCTGTATATTAGGAGGTTCTTTCAGTCTGTCCATAGGGAACACAAACTATTCCTAGCCTTGAATAATTTCTGGAAATGGTTGTACCTTCTCTTTCCAGTGGTTCTTTCTCAGATTTGGGTAGTTTCCTGTGTAAAGACCATTACTCAGCCGAAGACTCAAGGGGTCCTTTCTTGAGTTCTCCAGAACTTTGTCTGTACTGCTACCACTTCTCCACAAATTCTAGCCACACTGACCTCTCTGAACTATGAATTTTGTCTGCTCAACTTGGTGAGACCACCAGACTCTGCTTGTGGTCTTCTTTCCTGGGAACCGCCAGGTCTAAGCAAGTACTATCATAGAACTCACCTTGTTTATTTCTCTTAGAGATTCTTGTCCTGTGCTGCCTGATTGTCTAATGTCTAAAAACTGTTGCTTCATATATTTTGCCTGATATTCTGGTTGTTTAAAAGCGAAGAGTAAATCTGATCATTATTACTCCATCATGGTCAAAACCAGAAATATGTCGAAAGGCATGGACCACATAACTTTCTTTTTTTCTTTTCTCCCATTGTTACTGGCAGAGTGATAGGCACATAGTACTACTTGGTAAATATTTGCTTAATTGAATGAACTATTTTGACTTTTAGTTGCTTTTCTATAGTGTGTATTCTGTTTTGAGCCATTTTTATACACTGAAACTTGTTCTTAAGCTGGTTACAACTCTAAGTTTCTTTAAGACAATTGTAGTCTGTATTTTTTCCCCAAAGTTTGGATGTATGAGAGGTCAAGGAAGGAGTTAGGATGGCAAGATGGGCTTTAAGCAGTTGCTGTGCGTTCATGAATGAAATTGGGGGAGGTCTGCACAAATGGATTGGAAGACAGGGAGGTGAGAAAATAAAGTTAGAAGCAATTAGTCTTTCTCTGTTTCTCTCTTTTAGTTAGTCTTTGATGCCAGGGTTTGAAAATTACTGCCAAACTAATCTATACATTGAACCATACATTGATTTATTTTCATTAAATAATTTAAAAGATAGACTTAATTGTTTGCCTGAATTGACTGTGAGATTTGACCAAATCCATTCCTTTCGTTAATATTGGCCATCTCTGCATAGATAAGTAGGGATGAAATTATCTAATGGGACTGTTTTAAGTTACAGAATAATTAAAGGGCAAGGAAATTTAGCTTGATTTCATTAAATTAGGTCATGGTCTATTTAAATTTATAAGTTCTTAATACAGTCTGTCTATTTAGAATAATATTGATCCTCTTGAGTACTTTTATTCTTATGGTGAAAAGAAGTATCTTTTGCTTTTCATGAGTTCTGAGAATAACTAGTAATGACATTCATATTATGTGTGGTTTTCAAATGACCTGTTCTTTATATATTGCTTTCCCTTCAGTGTTGCCCTGGAAACTGTCCACCTTGTGATCAAAACTGTGGACGGACTTTAGGATGTAGAAACCATAAATGTCCATCTGTCTGCCACAGAGGTAAAATTTAACAATAGCTGTAATTTAATGTTTCTATTGATACCGTGCTTTATAGTTGATAAAGAAAGTTTTACATTCATTATCTTACTCTTAACAACCTTGAGAAGGTAGGGCAGTCACCAGTCTCCCCATTTTATGGACAAAGAGATTGAACTGTAGATAACTTCAGTGACTTACTCTGAGAAATACCTAGTAAAGCAGGATAGCTAAGATTTGAACCAGGCCTTCTGAATATAAAAGTTTTGTTCTGTCTTTAACACCATGTTGTTTCCTTACTTCTTCCTAACCTTCTCACATAGTTTTTATAATAATTAATATGTTCTTAGATTTTTCAGTGTTATTTTGAATTTTAGACATTTATATGGAATCAAGTCTAGTAAGGGATTGGATGTGTCCTAAGCCAGTGGTTCTCAGCCTTTTTGGTTTCAGGATCCTCTTACATTCTTTTTGTAACCAATGACCTTTTGGTAATGTTGGTTTTATCTATTGGTATTTATTGTATTTGAAGTTAAAATAAAATGTAATAATGTTTATGATTTTATTTAAAAAAAGCAATAATAAACCCATTACATCTTAATATAGTAACATTTTTTTGTGACTAAAATTACACTATTTTCTGAATAAATGTAGTGAGAGGAATGATATTGTTTTACATTTCTGCAAATGTCTTTAATGTCTCCTTATTGGAGAATAGGCAAAATTCACATGTGTGCTTCTGCATGCAATTTGTTATTATACCACTTGACCCATGGCGTCTGGAAAACTACGCTATGCATGTGAGACCTTTAGACCTCCTGAAAGGGTGTCAGGGTTGCTGAAGTTATTAGACACTGAAAACTGAGTTAACGGGGCATGTGGGTGGCTCAGTTGGTTGTGTCTGCCTTCAGCTGAGGTCATGATCTTGGTCCTGGGCTGGAGCCTCCTGCATCCTCAGCTCCCTGCGCAGCAGGGAGACTGCTTCTCCCTCTACCCTAGCCCTGCCCTGCTCGTGCTCACTGTCTCTCTTTAAAAAAGAAAACTGAGTTAACTTTACCTGTTTGGAGTCGGTTGATATGAAAAGGAATACTGATTTTATAGGGCAGTAGAAAGGGCATGGACTTTAGGATTGAAGTCTGGACTCTGCAGCTTGGTTAGTGGCATTATGACCTGGGACAAACTATACTGTTTTTATTATCTTCCTTTGGGATTAGGTGGATGCTAGATACCTCCCTTAATCTCTAAATCCTCTCAAAAGTTCAAAAAGTATATTGTGCTACTGTTGTTTTGTACAGTAAGGAAACAGGCAAAGAGACTTTTGGCTGAAGGTCATAGAACTAGTTGCAGGGTCAGATGTGAACTCACACTTTAATGATCTTTCCATCCTATCACATTGCCTCCCTGTTAAGAGAAGTGGCAGATTGAATTAACCCCATAGACTTTTTCCTGTGAGTGTTCTCTGATTTGTTGGTGTCTTTAAATTGTGAAAGAATTTTATTTTTTGAAGGTCATATTATATCATCGATTCATTAGATTTTGTTAGACTCTAAATTTAGTCATTAATTCAATTAAAAAAGTATTTTTGTGTGTCTACTAAGTACCAGGCACTGGGAATATGTAAGTGAACAGTACTGACAAAGTCCCTGCTCTAATGGAACTTATTTTTTTACTACCCCAGTTAGAATATAAGTAAGTAATCAAATTAATATGGAATATTAAGTAGTGACAATTATAGAAAGAAACTCTAGTGTGATCAGGAGAGGACTCTAGAAAGATGACATTTGAGAGGAATCCCGAAAGAAGTAAGGGATTACAAGCCATGTGAAAGAGGGTGTGGGATAGTGTTTTGGGCAAGAAAGCAGTAATTGCAAAGGCCTTGAGACAGGAGCGTTTGAAAGAACTCACAGAGAGGACTGAAGTAAGTGTCCCCCTTGAGAGGGGACAGATGATGGGAGATGAGGTCAAAGAGATGGTGGGATAGAGGATTGCTGGGGAAAGAATACGTGCGGGATCTTGTTGACTGTTGTTAAAACACTGGCCTTTCCTTTCATTAGAAAACCTAAGTAGTTGTATTGCCATTAAAGAAATTGGATCCAATAGTTTAGAATTCTCTCACCAAGGAAACACCAGGCCTAGTTGATTTTTACACATGAGTTTTAACATTTAAGATGTGTGTGTGTGTATGTATGTAGGTTCAGTCTCTCCATAAACTATTTGAGAGTATATGTAAAAAAGGAACATGTCCCAACTCATTATATCATCTGACAAGGAAAGTAAGAAAATTATAGGCCAATCTAACTCAAACATATTTGTAAAATATTAAAGGTACTGCTACTCAAATCCAGCTACCCAGTATGATAGTTTTAGCTATCTAAAACCTTAACCTTTCTTAATCAAGTTGGGTTTATTCCAATAATGTAGGATTGGTTTAACTTTAGTAAATCTAATGATGTGATTCACTGCATTAATAGTCTAAGGGAAAAGTGAAACTATTTTAGTAAATGTCTAAAAACAGTTGATGAAATTCAACATTCATATTTGATGTAAACTTAATTAGAAATTGAAGGGCGCGTCCTTAACCTGATAACAGAGTACCTGCAGAAAGGGTAGAGCAAGCATCGTACTCAGTGGAGGAGTGTCAAAAGACATCTCACGCTTGTATTGTTTTGAAGCAAGTCCCACAAATCCTTCAGTGTTCATTTCTAAAAGGTGGATTCTTTAACCTAAAAATAGTTAAAATATTTCTTAATATCAGCAAATATCTGCTGTTCAAATTATCTTGTGTCATAAATATCTTCATTTTTTAATTTAGTTTGTATGACTCAAAAACCTGGTAAGACTGACATATTGCAATTGGTTGATGTCTCTAAAGTCTGTGAATCTCTACTTTCCCTCCTCTGTCTCCTTTTCTTTTTCCTTGTCTCTTATTTGAGAAACGAGGTTGCTTTATTTAGTCACAGAGTCTGCATTTTACAGATTGCTCTCTGTGGTATCATTTGACATTTTCTCCTGTATTTCCTATAAATTATTAGTGGGATGTAGAGGTTTGATCAGATCCAGGTTCAGTTTTTTTTTTTTTTTTTGGCAGAGCGTTTATTTTTTTTAAAAAAGAAGCTTATTAGCCCCTAACAATTTACCTTAATGGAAAGTATGTGGAAGATGTGTTGTGCAGCTTTCACCATTTGTTTGATCCACATAAGATACATAGAACCATTATTTCATACCATTTTCCATCATTCGAGACACCATGATCAAGGTTATACTGTAACTCACAGGAAAAGGATGCACACTGCGTGTTCTCACTGTGAATATGAAAGTTTGACTTACAGTTCTTTAAGTTCAGGGTCATCTGTTTCTATGGTTCTGGAATTACTGGATGAGTACCCATTTTGGCTGTTGACCCACTGGTCACTGGAGTTGCACTCTGTATGCTGCTTTTTCATTTTAAAACTATCATTGAAGCTACTTTATCTGTCATGTTGTACAGGAATCTGTAACAAATTCTGTTGATCGGTAGGAAGACTTCAAAGAAATTATCCCTTATTTTTCTCAAGATTTAATTTTCAAAAAAGGAAAAGTGATGCTGTAGTTTAGAGTGGCAGAAAGGTGTTATGTTTGGTAAGTTCCTGTTTGAATTGCTGAAGGTGAATGAAAATTATTAAGTGGAAAATGATATGCTGAATGAGAACAGACTTAAAGATCATTATTAACTTTTAGAAAATATGACACCTGGTCATTCTTTTGGAAAGATAAAATAAAATTTGATCATGTGGATAACTTGGCTTGCATTACCATCAAGAAAAGACTTCACTGGATTATACTTATCAAAACACTGAAGTAAAAATTTGGTAACTTGTACAGTAGTACAGTACGTATCTATTTTTTTCCCTTTGTTGTTTTTTACTCTCATTTCCTTATTCTGTGTTCATTATTTGAATCAGAATCCTTCTGTTCCTTTTAGGAACTATTATAAGAGGCTTTAACTAGGGTACTTTTCATCATTAGTCTGTTTCTTGTCAGGTTAACTGCTCTTCAGTATTTTGCTTGGTGCTGACACATAGGCAGCAGTCTTTTACGATCCTCACTCCTTAGTTGAAGACTTTTATTCCCTTCTTGCTATTTCATTTCTAGTGGGGAACCTTACTTAGTGGGAACACTAGAGTGGGAAGAAAACCCTGAAGATGATGTCAGAGCCTTGGGGAGAATTTTATAGCCAGTTTAAAAAAGTTTCTTTCATTTTGTTTTTGTGTATTCCTACCAGCCTGTAACAAAAGTAGGTAAAAAACTGAAACCCAAATAACTTTTCTTTTTGAAATGTTTAGAACAGAAATACTTGGGAATTATAACCTAAAATGAGCGTTTAGAATTAGTCCTTCACAAAGCATGAGTAATAGTAAATTGACTGTGCTTGTTAATAACCTGATGAGAGAAATTACTCTTATTGGGGAATTTATCTAAAAATAATGTACTTGAATAGAAGTATGTATGAATGTATGGTGATTAACATAACAATAAAAATTAAAAAAATTAGTATGTATGAAAATAAGCCAAAAGTTTATTGATAACATTAGATTTTCCAAGAGATAAATCTATTCTGCTTGTGTAGTGATGACTGAGTAATGTGTTAAATGTTATTTAGACTAGAATTTTAGCAAATTTTAAAGAAAATTCTAAAACTTTTTAATTGAATTACCAGTGTGGATATAGAAAAGTATACAGATAACTAGTGTATAGCTTGATGAAGTTTTACAAACTGAACATAACCAGGTAACCAAAACTCTGATGATTAAATGGAACATTACCAGTATTTCCAAAACCCTCCTTGTATCCTTTATAACCATCATCCTGCTTTCAAACAGTATAGATTAGTTTTTCCTATTTGTTATATGTAAACGGACTCATATACTACATACTCTTTGTGTTTGGCTTCCTTTGTTCGGTGTTGTGTGTGTGAGGTTCATTCACATAGCTTCTTTATTCTCATTGTAGAGTATCCAGTTGTGTGAATACCAAATTCATTGATCCTGTTGTTGATTGTCATTTGAATAGTTAAGGACATTTCTTTTTAAGTTTCAGACCTTTTTTTCAGGCAGTTGTTATCCCTGCCCAGAAACTGTAGATGTGAAGTGCAATTGTGGTAATACAAAGGTGACGGTGCCCTGTGGCCGGGAACGTACCACAAGACCACCCAAGTGCAAAGAGCAATGTAGGTTAGTATGGGGTTCTGCACAGACTTACACCTGGTGTCTTAGCAAATTTAAATTCATATTGATTTTTAAATATTGTTAGTATTTTAAATTTTGCATTAATGTTCTAAAATACTAACATTCACAGTATTCTTGTTCTGTATGGAATCAGAAGATACTTAAATAGATAATTGCACTTTAGATATAATTGTTCATTAATCAAAAGTAATTTAAAAAATTGTATTTTATGATTTAGTCGACCACCAACTTGCCATCATACAAGTCAAGAAAAACATCGCTGTCACTTTGGCTCTTGTCCTCCATGTCATCAACCTTGCCAAAAAGTTTTGGAGAAATGTGGTCACTTGTGTCCTGCTCCATGTCATGATCAAGCATTAATAAAGCAAATTGGCAGGGTAAGGGAATATATTATTAAGAGGTAGTGCATTTCTGTGGGTCATATTTTCTTAATTTTACTTAGTCCTTCAACAAGCAATGATTAAGTACCTGCTGGGTGTTAAGCACTGTGATAGGAGCTGGGGTACAAGGTAAATATGACTTGATCTTTTGTCCTAAGAAGCTCATGGCATAGAAAAGGCGAGAAACCAGTAAATGGATATTTGCTAAGAACGTGTGATAATCATGTTATCATCCTGATACACATGAGTTCGGCAGTCTTCCTTCATATATTGTGGTTCAGGGTTACAGATATCTTCTGGTTTCCTCAAAGATTCATTCACTTAGTGAATATTTATTGAGTCCTTCCTGTGTGTTAAGCAGTCTCCTGCCTGCTAGGGAGACAACAGTGAACAAATAATGGAGATTACATTCTAGTGGTGGAAGTTGGATTTTATAGTGCTGTTTCTCATTCCCCTTTTGGCTAATAAGAAGTAAAGGAAACTACTTTGTCTTTGTTCTGCCATTTAAAAACTGGAATCTGCCTTCATTTGTAGCATCAGATGTGTGTGGAGGGGAACATCTGATAGAGTACAGATGGAATAAAATATTTCAGTAAGCACAATTTGTTGGTTACTTGAAAAAATTTCAGCCTGCTTGAATAGAGGATATGTGGGACTATTTTCTTAGATTCTTATATTGGCCATATGATTTAATTCCTCTGCCTTTAAATTGTTACGTATTTTACTTGTAGCACCAGCCTACAGGCCCTTGGGAACAGCCTTTGGAGCCAGAATTTATTCAGACTGCATTACCGTGTCCTCCATGTCAAGTTCCTATTCCTATGTAAGTATTTTAGTATTTTAACTTAAAAAATAAGTTTTTTTTTACATAGTTCTAAGTTTATCTTAAATTACCTTCTCCCCTTTTTCTGTGTTCAGTTCATCATTTTTTTCAGGCCTAGTCCATAAACCAGTCTCTCTGTCTTCAGCCTCATTCTTTTCTAAGTACATTTTACATACTGCTTGAAAACCTCTAGATATCTTTTTTTGAGTCTTCTCCCCAGCTGGAGTTTAATGTCCTTCTGAATTTCCATAGCAACTCACACTTAGAATAATTCATCCAAGAGATCATCATCTGTTGTTAGTTTTCCTGATACCCATGCTAGTCTTTGAGCTCCTTGAGGACAGAGGAGAGCCAGGTTGTAGGTAAGGCAAACTTGAAGGAAACATTGAAAATCAAAGAAAGTAGTGTTCTGGAATGTAGTGTTCCCAGGAAATGACCTGGACTGGGTTGTAAGGAGTCAAACCCTAGGGTAATATGAATCATGGAGTGGTTCATACTTTTGAGTAGAGGTTATAGAATATAGGAGTAAAAGAAGCACAGAATTCTGGGAACTAATGTAAAATTAGAAAACAGGTTGTTTTCTACCATTAAGGTTCCAAACTGAATATTGGTATGTCTTAGGTATCTTTTTAAAGAGACAGTTTTTATTTCCTTTTAAAAGCTCTCCCATTATGTCCTTCCACATCTTTCCTCTCAGTTTAAGTAGAATGTATATTTTTATATATTGGTTGTGCAGTCAGGTTGGGAGGCAAAGTGTTATTGGGAGCTGTATCTACAAACAATGTGATTTTAGTCTAGATTAGTGGGGGGCGGAACTCATAGTCACTTAAATTGTTTGTGTAAGTGTAGTCAATTGTCTTTGAATTCCCTAGTCTGTCTTACAGGAGGATTATTTAACAGATATGCCTATCTTATTTCATTCAATTAATTTCCTCAAAATCTTAGGTTGGATTAAATATTTTATGACAGTAGAAAAACTGCCTGGAATTACTAAGTCATGTTTACTAGAAGTTTAAAGAATTAATTTTAAAAGTCTTTCCTTTGCACTTGACTGGAATGTGCTGCTGAAAGGTTTTTTTGGGAGTATATATATGTATCAAGACATTGTGTTTTAGAGTAAGGACTCTTGAGTCCAGTGTTGTGCTTCCTGATAACTACCATGAATAAGTCATATATCCTCTCTGTTTGTAAAATAAGGATATTCAAGATATTTACAAAGATGTCAGTGGGGAAGAGAAAATTTTGGGAGGGAGGTTTTTATCATCAGAAAATATTTGTTGTGTCTAGTAAACAATTTTTTTCTTAGTCTATTTTTTCTGATGTTAGTATAGCCACATTTACCCTCTTTTGGTTACAATTTACATGAAGGAATGGACAGATTCTTAGAAACACAAAAACTTCTGAAACTGACTCAAAGAGAAGTAGAAAATCTAAATAAACTTATACCTAGTAAAGATATTAAACTAGTAACCAAAACCTACCACAAAGAAAAGCTGAGGATGAGTGACTTTACTGGTGAATTCTACCAAACATTTAAGAAATTAACACCAGTGTTTAACCATGGGGAGACACTTCCTGACTTACTCAATGAAGCTTGTATTTACCTGATACTAAGAGCAGAAAAAGACATCACAAGAAAAGACAACTATAGATCAATATCCCTTTTATATATAGATACAGAAATTCTCAACCAAATACTAACAAACTGAATCTAGCAACATGTAAAAAGAATTGTACATCATGACCAAAAGGGATATATCCCAGAAATATGAGGTTGATTCAACATATGAAAACCAAAATATTAAAGTACTATTTTATCATAAGAATAAAGGACAATCAGTAGATGCAGAAAAACATTTGACAAAATCCTACATACTTTCTAGATAAAAACACTCAACAAACTTAGATAAACAAACTCCCTCAACCTGATAAAGGGCGTCAGTGAAAAACCCTTAATCGTACTTAATGGTGAAAGACCAAAAGCTTTCCTGTTAAGAACAGGAAAAAGAGTAGGATGTCTGCCCTTGCCCCTTCTATTTAGATTTACATTGTATTAGAGGTGGCTAGCCAGAGCAATTAGACTAGAAAAAGAAAGAATGTATTCACACTGGGAATAAAGAAGTAAAACTTTTGTATTTTTAAATGATATGATCTTTTATATGAAAAATCCTTACACAGACTGTTAGAGATGATAGGATTTTTCATATACAAGATCATGTAGTATACAGAAGTCGGTGGCTTTGGTAAGGCTATAAGAAACATTAGTATACAAAAGTCAGTTCTATACCCTAGCAATGAACCATCTGAAAATGAAATTAAGAAAACAGTTCTACTTCCAGTAGCATTAAAAAAGCAACTTGTTTATTCAACAAACTTAATTAAAAAATCTAAGATTTTATACACTGAAAACTATAAAACATTTTTGAAAGAAATTAAAGAAGACCAAAGGCTGTGGTACTGGCATACAGATAGACATATGGATCAAGGGAATAGAATTGAGAGTCTGGCCATAAATGTAGGAATTTATTTCTAATTAGTTTTTGATAACAGTTATTTAAAAAATGGACAGACATCCCATGTTTGTGGATGGGAAGACTTAATATTGTTAAGGGCACTACTACCCAAAATGATATACAAATTTAACATACGCTCTGTCAAAATCACAGCAGGCTTTTATGCAGAAATTGTCCCCAAAATTCATATGGAAATATGAAGGAACCAGAATAGCCAAAATCTTCTTAAAAGTGAAAACAAAGTTAGAGGACTCACACTTCCTGATTTTAAACTTATATAACTATAGCAGTTAAGAATCTCTGGTGTTGGTGTAGGGATAGACACATTGATCAATGGAATAGAATTGAGAGACCAGAAGGAAACCCATATGTTTATGGTCAATTGATTTTTGATAAGAGTATCAGAACAGTTCAGTGGGAGGAAGAATGTTTTATGTCAACACATGGTGCTGAGAGAATAGATATTCACAGGGGAAAAAAATGAAATTGGACCTCTACATCACAACATATATAAATATTAACTCAAAATGGATCAAAGATCTAAAAGTAAGAGCTATTAAACTCTTAGAAGAAAACATAGGTGTAACCCTTTGTGTCCTTGGGTGAGGCAGTGATTTGTTACATAGGATACCTAAAGCATAAGCAACAAAAGAAAAAATAAAGTCAGGACATTATTAAGCACAATTTCTTAATTGTGCTTCAAGAACACAATAAAAAAATTGAAAAGACAACCCACAGAATGGGAGAAAAAGTTTGCATGTCATATATTCTGTAAGAATATTATCCAGAATATATAAAGAATTCTTAAACTGAGAAATGAAAAGACAAATAATCCAATTTAAAAATGGGCAAAATCTTTGAATAGATGTTCCTCTGGAGATCTTACAAGTGGCCAGTAAACATGTGAAAAGATGCTCAAGTAATTGTTAGGGAAATGCAAGTCAAAACCATGTTAAGGTGTCATTTTACACTCACTAGGAAGGCTAAAATAAAGAAGGCATAAGTGTTGGTGAAGATAGGGAGTAGTTGGAACCATCGTACATTGCTGATGGGAATGTAAAATGGTGCAACTACTTGGGAAAGCAGTTTGGTAGTTTCTCAGGAAACTAAACTTGGACTTAACCAATTTTACTCTTAGGTATACACCCGAGAGAATTGAAAATATGTGTTCCCAAAAAAACTTGGACACGAATGTTACAATAATAGGCACATTATTATGAATAGCCAGAAAGTGGAAACAAATATCTATTGACTGATGAATGGATAAACAAAATGTGGTATATCCATGCAATGGAATATCATTCACCTATAAAAATGCATGAATTACTGATACCTGCTATAACATGGATGAACCTTGAAAACAGTATTCGAAGTGAAAGAAGCCAGACATAAAAGGCCACATAATATTTGATTCCATTTATATGAAATGTTCAAAATAGGCAAATCCATAGAGACAGAAAGTAGATTAGTGGTTGCCAGGGGCTACAGAGTGACTTCTAATAGTTACAGGGTTTCTCTGTTGATTGTGAAAATATGCTCGATACTGGTGAGGGTTCCATAATCTTGTGAATGTACTAAAAACCACTGAATTGTACTTTTTAAAAGTATAAATTTTATGGTATGTGAGTTTTATCTCAATTTTAAAAGGAGACAAACCTACACATAAAGATCCTTCTAATTCTGATAATGATTTTCAGTGGATGTGTAATAAAATTATTATAAAGTATGCATTAAAATTATTACTTGTCACATGAACTATCCAGGTAGTATGATTTCTTTCTTAGAGTAGAATGTTCATGTCTTCTTGTCCCTTAACATGACTTTTAATCATAATTTGGCTATGTGGTAAAAGAATTCTGAACATATGTGTTAAATCATTTGCAGTGCCTTTGGCTTCAAGTTATAAAGAACCTAAATAAAAAGTGACATAATAATGTTTATGCCTTGCACGGTTAGATTGGAGGTAGAGCAGCTTCGTGGTTGGTTAAGCTGGTTAATGCAATGATACATCATCAAAGGCCCAGATTCTGTCTATTTTATCCTCAGTGTGTCATCTTTGCTGTCAGGCTGTTTGGCTTTCTGATCAACCTCCCATCCAGATAGGAAGTTTCCAAAAAGAAAAACTGTTTATGCCTTCTACCATCATCATTTTTTTTTTAAAGAGTGAGAAGCCTTTTCCAGAAGCCCCATAGCAAAACTCCTTCCACATTTCATTGGCCAGAATAGGATCATAAGACAATTTCTAAAGCAGTCCCTGGGAAGGGGAGTGGAATGTTTATTTTTAAATTCTTTTAAATAGACTTTATCTTTTTTAGGTGATTTTCAGGTTTACAGAAAAATTACACAGACAGTACAGAGTTCCCATATGATCCTGCCACACATAGTTTCCCTTGTTATTAACATTTTGCATTAGTGTGGTACAGTTTTTTTTTTTACAATTGAACTGATATTGAATAATAATATTATAAACTAAAGTCCATAGTTTACATTAGGGTTCACTTTTTGTGGATCATATCATAAGCCTAGTTTTGCTTTGTAAGACACTGCCAAACCATCCAACAAGGTGACTGTACCATGTTACATTCTCATCAGCAGTGCGAGTGCCTGTGGCCCTGTGTTTTTGTCAGCATATGCTCCTGTCCACGTTTTGGGTTTTAGTCATTCTAATAGGTGTGCAGTGGCATCTCATTGTAATTGGCAGTGTTCTAATGACACATGATGTTCAGCATCTTTTCATACGTTTATTTGCTGCCTGTATGTCTTCTTTGGAAGGTGAGGTGTCCTCTCTTCAAATCTTGACCATTTTTTAATTGGGTTGTTTGCTTTCTTATTGAGTTTTAAGAATTTTGTTTACATTTGGATACAAGTCCTTTACCAGATACATGTTTTCCAAATACTTTCTGCCAGTCTGTGGCTTTTCATTTACGTGTTTTCATTTAGCATTTTCATTTAAGTGTTTTTCACAAGACAGATGTTTTGGTTTAATAAAGTCTAGCTAACCATTTTTCCTTTGGAGATCATGCTTTTGGTGTTGGATCTAAAAAATCCTCATTAAATCCATGTCACCTAGATTTTCTCCTATGTTTATAGTTTCACACTCCACATTTAGGTCTGTGATACATTTTGAGTTACCTCTTGTGAAAGGTGTAAGGCCTGTTGGGATTTATTTTCTCTGTCAGTGTCTTTATTACAGCACCAACCATTTGTTGAAAAGACTATCCCTTCTCTATTCGGTTGCCTTTTTCCTTTGTTAGAGATCATTCGACTATATTTATGTAGGTCTGTTTCTGGGCTTTCTGTTCTGTTCCATTCTGTTAACAGTACTCTACTGTCTTAATCACTATAGCTTTATAGTATGTCTTTAAGTTGGATAGTGTCAGTACTGTGTTGTTCTTCAGTACTGTATTGGCTATCCTGGGTTTTTTGTCTTTCCATACAGACCTTAGAATCAGTTTGCTGGTGTCCACTATTAATAACTTGCTGGGATTTTGATTAGAATTATGTTGAATCCAGATCAAGTTGGGAAAAAAAGCAACATTGCAACAATATTTGCACCTTCCTATCAGTGAACATAGGATATCTCATCATTTATTTAGATTATCTTTGATTTCTTTCATCAGTATTTTGTAGTTTTGCTCATATAGATCATGTATATATTTTGTTAGATTTGTATCTATTTCATTTTTTTGTGCTAATATAAATGGTGGTATGTTTTAAATTTCAAATTCCAGTTGTTCATTGCTGGTATATAGAAGAGCAATTGGCTTTTGTGTGTTAACTTTGTATCCTGCAAGTTTTCTATCTTCACTTATTATTTCCATATATGTTTATTTTTTATTCTTAATAAAACTAGTAGACTTAGCACCTTTGCTTTAGATAATCTTTTTGAAGAATTTGTAACGGTTTCATTTTATTTTTTTCTTGCAGAGAATGTCTTGGGAAGCATGAGGTGAGTTACAGGCACAAATTTTAAGTAAAGCTTATAATCTATGCCTCTTCTATTGAGGATTGTTAGAAATGACAAAGTCTAAGTATTATTTTTTTAGTGCTTTAAAAAGTACAAGAGTTTATCTGCACATTTTTTTTTAAAGATGTACTTTATTTTAGAGTGGGAGAGAGAGAGCTTATGTGTGCCAGTGGGGGAAGGGGCAGAGGCAGAGGGAGAGGGAGAGAAGCAGACTCCACCCTGATCAGGGAACCTGACATGGGGCTTGATCCCAAGAGCCTGAGATCATGACCTGAGCCAAAATCAAGAGTCGGATGCTCAACCAACTGAGCCACCCAGGCGCCCCTCTGCTGATGTTTAAAATATACTGTGCTGGGCGCCTGGGTGGCTCAGTTGGTTAAGCGACTGCCTTCGGCTCAGGTCATGATCCTGGAGTCCTGGGATTGAGTCCCACATTGGGCTCCCTGCTTAGCAGGGAGTCTGCTTCTCCCTCTGACTCTCTTCCCTCTCGTGCTATCTCTCATTCTCTCTCTCTCAAATAAATAAATAAAATCTTTAAAAAAAATAAAATATACTGTGCTTTTGGGAATTAGCCAGTGTATATGTGGTCACTATAGCATCGTTGTATTGAATTTCCCTTTTGGGAATAGAATGTTTTGCTTCTTGGCATTCATTTTTTGGATTTTTTGATCGGTTACTTTGATTTTGAATATAACTGTTAGTAATGAAAATGTGTTAGACCTTTATGAAACTTGTTCTCAAATGATAATAGAGTCATTTCAGAAACATGGGTCCAGAAGGTTTTGTGTGTGTTGCTAATTTTCTCCTTTTTTTTTTTTTTTTTTTTTTTTTAAGGTGAGTCCACTACCATGCCATGCTGTAGGACCTTACTCTTGTAAGAGAGTATGTGGACGAACCTTAGGTTGTCAGAATCACACGTGTATGAAAGAATGCCACAAAGTAACTGAAATTGATACCTGCGTTGGCAAAAACAAGGTAATATCCTTAGGTTGAATGTGTATGTGCTTCTAGTATGCTTGAAACATTTTTTTGAATAATTATGCCATAAGTATTTTTACATTTTGTTAGAACTTTTTTATTCCTTCTTGCCCTCATCCCTTCTCCTTCCTTGCCTCTCTTAATACAACCAGCTTTAATAGCTTCGTATATATTTCTCTTTATCTTTGTGCTAACTCATGATAATAAGCCTTTTAATGTTCTCTCAACATACTGTACTGTGTTAATACATAGGCTTTGATTTTATGATAAAAGTACAGAAATTATGTGTCTATTTAGATTGTAGGTAGTAATATCACTTCCACTTCTGTTCATTTATATCTCTGGCTTTAGTCTGGAGCATTTGTTCTCAGCAATTTTTTTAAACCTAACATCTGTGATAGGAAATGTTCACAATTTTTTTTTAGTTTTATTTTATTATGTTATGTTAGTCACCATACATCATTAGTTTTTGATGTAGTGATCCATGATTCGTTGTTTTCATATAACACCCAGTGCTCCATGCAGTACGTGCCCTCCTTAATACCCATCACCGGGCAAACCCATCACCCCACCCCCCTCCCCTTTGGAACCCTCAGTTTGTTTCTCGAAGTCCATAGTCTCTCATGGTTCATCTTCCCCTCCGATTTTAATAAATTCCCAATTGCTCATTGGAAATAAAGTAAATAGCATCACAGATGTAGGGCATGTGTGTGTGAAATTCACTAAAAGCATATTCTAAAGCATATGAGAAGTCAACCATTGAAAGATCTCTAAAATTGCCATTTTACAAGGAAAAATAAAGGTAGCTAATCAAATTTTAAATGATATTAAATCTTATTTTTGAACATTTAAATTCACCAGCACATAAAAACATAGAACAATAAAAGTATTTTCAATAGCAATAAAATATAAAAGACTCCTATTGAAACAGAGATACAGATAGGGTCCTGTTCTGAATTTCCTAGGCCATACGAAAGTTTCTGACCAAGAAAATATAGGCAGAAATGCTTTTCATCTCCAAAAATAGTCAGGGAAATCTTTATCATTAACCACTCTACTTTTTTTTTTTTTTTTGAACCGACAACATTTTCAGTTTTTATTTATTTATTTATTAATTATTAACATATAATGTATTATTTGTTTCAGGGATACAGGTCTGTGATTCATCAGTCTTACACAGTTTACAGTGCTCACCATAGTACATACCCTCCCCAGTGTCCATCACCCAGCCACCCCATCCCTCCCACCCACCTCCACTCCAGCAACCCCCAGTTTGTTTCCTGAGATTAAGAGTCTCTTATGGTTTGTCTCCCTATCTGGTTTCATCTTGTTTCATTTTTCCCCTCCCTTCCCCTATGATCCGTTGTCTTGTGTCTCAAATTCCTCATTTCATTGAGATCATATGATACTTATCTTTCTCTGATTGACTTCTTTTGCTTAGCATAATACCCTCTAGTTCTATCTACGTTGTTGCAAATGGCAAGATTTCATTTTTTTGATGGCTGCATAATATTCCATTGTGTGTGTGTGTGTGTGTGTGTGTGTGTGTGTGTGTGTGTGTGTGT